GGAAATGGAATCGGTCAACCTCTTCAAGAAACCATTTGTTTCCAAGGCCAAGCTGTCAGAGACCAAACTTCCCTCAAAGAGCTTGAACGGTTTAACTATCTTTCCAGGTGTTTTCAATATTAGTCAATTTGGCAAGTTGTGAGGGCAAATCAAAGTAATTCATTTACTTCCCACATTTTTATTGCTGCAACCCTCCATGTTCTAACTGGTATAGAGGTCAGGTGACTCAATGATGGGAGCAATCAGGATGGCATATTTTGGAAACATTTCAACAAAGTTTTGATTTATGGAATTTATTTCTTGGTATATCATCGTGTTGAACTTTGTGTATGGATGACAGTGGATGATGATGCAATGACTTGCCACCCACTTCATCAGGTTGTTAATTAGTGCTGTAAGTTTTACATCAGTTACTAAACGGCAGAACTTCACAACGTACCAAATGAATAACCAAAGAATAACTACATACAGTTCTATCAAATAGGAAACATGTTAGTTAAGAACAAACACTATCACATGACCTTATCAAATAGTTATTTATGAATCTCAGAACACATGAAAGAAATATGGTAATTCTTGTGTGTCTTGAGTGTTCGGGAGGTTTCTTAAAACGTACATATGGATCTAATTGTCGCCCTTCAAAATATATCCCCTGACTCATTTGTTTGCACTGAGTTGATGCTCATAGATTTCACCACAGTGGTGAACCTCTACCAATTGCAGTGCGGTGGGGTAGCCTTGTGGTTAAGCATTTGCTTGTCACGTCGAAGACGACAGGTTTAATTCCTCATAAGGGTGCATTGTGTGAAGCCCATTTCTGGTGTCCCGACCGTGATATTGCTCAAACATTGCTAAAAGCGGCGTAAAACTAAACTCACTCACTCTACCAAAGACATTCTTTATTTTCCAGTGTTAGATCCCCAATCTACCATGTTCTACACTGTGACCTATACTGGAGCCAATTCGCCACCATAGCTTTGGTTCTGAGCAATGCCACTATAGTGTTAGCCTTATCACTAAACTAACACAGAAATTTGCACACTTTATCATAAGCTTGAAATCAACAACCAATCAAAATGCCTCTTCTGAATACTAGTGAGGCAAGATGAACAATAAATTCATAGCTTTGTACAAGAGAGCACTCAATGGAATTATGTCAATCTGAGAATGTTCAACTGGACAATTTGTCATCCTGAGTATAAGATGCTCTCAGTTCCATTTGAAATGGTACACAAGGATAGCTGAGAACTGGCACTATCACAACTTATTTCAATATTGAAAGGACAGTGTAAAGTCACTTGACAACCAATATGGTGGCATATGGTTCCACGATGTATATGATAAGAAAATGTAGATATGATGGATAAAAAGGACGATACATAACAATTTTGGCCTTCCAAAAGTTGATACCCAGCGTTGAGGTGAGGTGACGTGAAATTGGGTTTAAGTTCGTGCTTGAGAATATTTCGCTCATATGACGACGTGTATGCGTGTGTATGTGTATGTGCGGCTGCTTGTACTAGCCCAGACTTAAGCTGGTTTTATAGTGCTAGCCCACTGAGATACCATGCCGCAGTGAAGCATGAATACCCCACTCAGACACATTATACTGACTCCGAGCCGACCAGTCCTTGTTGTACCCATTAATCCCGAGCGCCAGGCAGGAACCAACAAGTACCATATTTTAACGTCTTTTGGTATGACGCGGTCGGGGATCGAACCTGCGACCTTCCGCTCTCCGGGCAGACGCTCTAACCACTACACCACGGAGGCGGTGATACCCAGCGTTGAAAGTGAAATACGGATCAAAGCAAACACACCCAGCTCCGTCACTCAGATCTAAATTGTCCACTATTCTTGTTCTAAATAGATTCAAACACAAAAGGAAACATCCTCAAGGTCCCTGACCTTACATTTAGTAAACAAAATAAAGTTATTTTATTTACAAATATATATCTACAAAGACATAAAGATTGCAAAAGGAGTCTACAATGATTCTTAATTTCAGAGATCGGGCAATTTAAACTTGTCCAATCATTCTAGACTTGAGTTTGGTTCTTTTGAACAGATTCACTAGTGTCTGGGAAACAGACTACAAGGACACCAACAACCCTTTAACTTCAAACACTCATTCAGGATAAACAATCCCTGATTTAACTGCCATATCCTGAAAACCAAAGAGGATGACACAACACCATTGTAATACCACAGCCCCAGGGTCCATTTACCTGGGATGCTACTGTCAATACAACTGATTGTAATCAGTAAGGTAAGGGCTATGTCACGATTGTTGTCAGCCATCAAGTAACAACAGCTGTTGGCCATCACAGCTGATCTGATCAGGAACTATCAATGTATGGTAGCAAGCTTGCTCTATATCACTTGCTTAACTTCTTACATTGCTTATCTGGTACACCACTGTTTGTTACAACATGTGTCAACATTGAAATAAAATACCAGATATATTCAAGTTAAACATTCCTCTGTTTTATCTAGCCTACATGAATACATGTGGTTTACATTACATTGATCCTGTAAGGAAGAACAGTCAGGAGATGTACAATACTTTTTCAATCTGGTTGTATTGCAGTAAACATTGGTGAGCCATGTATTTGTTACTTAGTTTAAAAAAGTGAGTTTAGTTTTATGCCGCGTTTTGCAATATTCCAGCCATATCACGAGTACACCAAAAATGGGCTTCACAAATTGTAATCATGTGGGGATTCAAACCCAGATCTTCAGCATGACGAGCAAATGCTTAACCACTAGGCTACCCCACTGCCTATATTACATAAAAAGAAAGTAATACTGAGATTTAGAGTTTGATAGGAATGAGCAGGGTTTTAGTATACAAATTGTTAATGAATACAACTAATTAACCCTGCAGTTGTTGAGGAAACAACAAACTTTGATCGGTTTGAATCATTGAAACTAATCACAATTGTACATTACACTTTAGACATAAAGATATTTTCAGTCTGATAAGAAATAACCCTCAAAGCTAAGGGTATTCATCATGGTTGATTTTCTTGAGATGAACTGTCAAATCCCATTGACGTTTTCTGAATGGTTCATGTTTTCGGACATTGACTGACTGGCATCCAAAGTGTCCTCCAGTGCGTGAGTGTGGTTTTACGCCGCTTTTAGCAATATTCCAGCAATATCACGGCAGGGAACACCAGAAATGGGCTTCACACATTGTATCCATGTGGGGATTCAAACCCATGTCTTCGGCTTGACGCTTTAACCACTAGGCTACCTTGTCGCCTCCGAAGTGTCTTGAAGATATTTTTCAAGTTTGGTATAGATATAGAAGAAGTACTATCAAGGTTGGAGAGGAGCTTTACTGCATTTCTGAAAGAATTTTTTCTCAGCCAAGGACAATTTCCATAATTCCAAGGTCTGATCCCTGTTTGAGATGAGTATCTAGGCAAACATCTATACTTCCCTTCAAATATATAGTCTCAGTAGATTATCCTGGTATACAGTGTCACTAACACAAGAACATGTATGCCATTTGCATCAAGATGGATCAATTTTCACAGCCCCCCTGTCTCGGGTGCGTGCTTTTCAGCAGGTAGTCGTGTAAAATGATCATCCTGAGAAGTCTTAGGCAAAGGGCTACAGAAAAAAAAACCACACATGTACCTTGGTTTTGAGTTCAGTTGAGCTGACAATAACTTGTAGAAGTGTAACAGCTGATTGAACTATCAATTTGGTGCATCAGTCTTCGGGCCATTAGCAATACATTGACAAGTCAGATGATACCTGCTTGACTATCAAAAGATGCAAAACAATGAAAAACAAATAAATAATCACCAATCAAAGTTAATACCCTGAACATTTCAGTTAGAAGACAGTAATTGTTCTTAAGTTTGCATCAACAACTGATTTTAATAAATTGTAACTCTCCTAAATCTCAAATATGTTCTTTATAAATCTAATGACCCCCCAGAAATGTTTGACATGACATTAGATCAAAGTATAAAGTCTGGATTGCTGGGAGTTGGAGGTCCATTAAAGGCAAAACAACTATGTTTAACTTTTGGTTCCCTGTTAATATTATTCTGCCAAGCAAATAAATAGATTCATCCATTTGAGCTAACCAATTGGGTATCTAATCACTGGAAAAAAGGAAATCTTTGTGATAACTGGATAAAGAGATAACAATGGCAAAATTAACGAGCCTTGTAATTAGTCACACCTAAGGTGAAATGTGTATTGTTGTCATTGCTCAGTCAAAGATAGAGCAATGGCTTAGATGATAATGATCACAAGTGCTGCTGATGCTACAAGTCCAAGCCAGTTTATTATGATTAAATATCTGTTTCTAAATAAGCTGACATCACATCATTGTATCTGTGATTGCACTCACTTCACACTGAATCTGCTGACATGGGAATAATTATCTCATGACTACAAATACAGAGATGCATTCTCATTCCAACCTCATGATACACACATGGTTGGTCTACATGACAAGTCTCTCATCTCTGACGAAATTCAGTGAGTAGTTCGGTTACTCAGAAGCTCAAGGCCTACTGCAGTATATGACGCCAAACTGCAATTGTACTGTGTGATACCACGTGAATCAAAGGTGAAATGATTTGAATGAGAGCCAATTCAAGTGATAAGTATCGCCATTTGTTTATTATTTGTATATATCTCTGTTCCATATTCTGTCGTGTGACTTATACCCTAATACGAACAATCAGAATTTTAAATTTGACAGCACCTTCAGGTTCTTACATACTGAGAGCTTTAACTGTCTTAGTCAAACTCTGGTGAAATTTTCAACCAAGATGACGTTACCACGTTTTTGCCACTGCTTGTACGAGTTACACCTAAAACTGAGAGATAATAATAAATTCATACCATGAAATCTACAACTGACATCCCTTCACCTGTCTCGCGTGACAGGTGTGGTACTGGCTTTCATGTAGGACACACGTAGGATAGTTCAAGTGGGTGAAATTGACATGGCAAATAGGCCTACTCACTTTTTGGTTCAATGGTTGTTGTTTATTTTTCCTCTTCAGAGAAGGAGAACGAAGTATTTTCCGTGGTGCTCTATCCATAATCCACGAGACTAAGACCCTGGCATACAGTATCCATTCATTATAACACGAGGATCAGTACCTTTCCTCGTTGATGTTTCAAACTTTAAAGTGTTCGTCCCATATGAGAGATGGGCAGCCAAAGTTAATCTGATACGAGAGATCTGATTGGTTCGGTCGCCCCAGGTCGATGTTCGTCTTCTATTTTCGTTTCCCGTATGATAATAGCTTTCTGAGGAAACAATTTATTAGATCATCTCAACATATAGCGTTCATTGTCTCCAAATGAATCAGTAATGATAAATTATTCTTTATTCAAGACTAACAACAGAGTACACCATCGCACCTGTTGCATAAATATCGACCAATGAAATAATTCCTTTCAAATCTATAAATAAACGTAGATGTCGCTGTAGCTAAATATTTGCATATCTGTCATATTTTACGCCCGCTTTTATTATTTTCTTGAAGCTGCCACGTAAATGGTTTTATTTCTCGAGTACATCAAACAGTTGCACCGAATAGAGGATTATACTATGTCGCTGTCCCAAGTATTTGCGTACATGGAACATATATTTTACGTCCGCTTTTAACATTTACTTAGATCTGTTTGATTGGTATTTTAGAAGTTGATGGATATAATAGAAAAGGCATAGATATAATACTTTGTGGATTACAACTTCCACGTTGTTGTTATCCATAAAGTATTATACTTTTTCTATTTTATCCATTTACTTAGAGCCGGCATATTAATGCTATATTTGTATCATCCATACTTTTAACTATTAATACTCTCTCTCTCTCTCTCTCTCTCTCTCTCTCTCTCTCTCTCTCTCTCTCTCTCTCTCTCTCTCTCTCTCTATGTAAACAAATCCACAAAATAATGACACAACACGAATCTACCTAGGCATATGTATATATGTACTTCTGTACACTGTTGAGCTTCATCCTTTTATATATTAGTGTTGGGTAATTATTTTGCGGGTTTCTTTATCTGTCTGTCAGTCTGTCTATCTATATATTGTTTCGAATTAAAGGATTCATATTTATGCAATGTATACATTAATAAAATATTATATCTCAGTAGACAAATAAGTACAAATGGTATACAGTGTACATAGTGTGTACCAGTTCTTGATATTCACTAATTCACTGTAAGAACGAAAATGGATTTGGTGAACATATAGTTTTTGAGTGCATGGATAAAGTATTTTTATGTACAGTATGTCGTACATGGGGGACCTGATCTTGGCATTCAGACACCAGTTAGGAAAAGAGGTAGTCTTTCTCAGATCTAGATCCGAAATTAAGTTTCAGTTTATATATATTTAGATAAGAACACTTAAGTTCTGGGGGTAAATGTCAGTCAAGGAAAAATGTGAATCGTGACGGCTGTCGTTGACGTAGATAAAGGGAGACAACTCAGTTTGGTAAGGTACAAATCTGAAACATCGTTTTTCATTCCGATTCCTATACTGCTGTGAGGAGCTTCCTGGTATAAACAAGATGGCTGCGCCCTTAAGAATCGTCTTGAAAACGTCGCCCTAGCTGTGTAGATTCATTCTGTACGTTTGAATCATATAGCTCGTCCTGTTTTTAGTTGCAAATATGTATGAGGACGAGGACTCCGATTTCCTTGATTTCGGCGGCGATAGCGATGTTGATAGAGCAGAAAGGTAAACATTAGCCTGTCGACAGTGATAAAAGTCCATGTGCCTCAATAATTTTACATACCCCCATTCGGCATTTGTTTCTTCAAGTATGTAGTCCACTGAATTTCCATACATCACCACTTAGGTAATAGTTCCGCCCGTAACCCCCCGCTTGAAATGTATTCTATTTATTATGAATATTTCAAGGTGTTAGGGTTAGGTTTAGATTTAACATTAGGTTAGGGTTAGGGATAGGATAGGTTTTCTATATAAAATATCTATTCTTACTATAAATCTTTTAGGCATAGAATGGTAAAAACCACGGGGGTTACGGGCGGAAATCTTTCCCTCTGGTCTACATTGTTTACAACAATAAGAATTAAGTGCCATGAAATTTCTGTTTCTTCAATTTCAGCTCTGAAGATGAACTTGATACTCTCCTCCTCGCATCACCTGAGGAGAGGCAGCGTCTTCAGCGTTACCGTCAGAAACCACAGAAGGAACAAGAAGATGACTTTGAGCGTGAAATGAATGAAGAAGTTCTGCAAACTGTTGCAGCAATTGAAGCAGAAAGAAAACTTTTGAGTAGAGGTGACCAATCTATTTTCTTAATCATGTTTATAGTTTTATTTCAACAAGAAATATTTACATATGCTTAACCAGTATAATTACTCATGACTGATATGGCCTGGAAAGAGAGACCAATCATTTCTCTTAATCATGTTAATAGTTTGAATTCAAAAGGAACTTGACATACCCAAACAGCAGTAATAAAAAGGATTGCTACTATCTTAGTGATTCATCACTGATCATTGGTTTGTCTATCTTAACCATGTTGAAAGTGACTGATTGCATGTTTTAATATTTTAATAGGCCCTGTTTTGGATGAGAAATTGCTGGTGGTAATTGTGATCCCATGACATTGCAGGGATGAGAAGTTTCCGTGGATTCGATCACACTGGGGTCATTCTTGTGAATCGCCCCCAAGACCCCGGCTCATTTTCCTCTTTTTTCACTCATACCCATTCACATCCCTGACATTGACATATGAGCTCAAAATGTGATGTTTCCTATTGAGAAATTTCTATATTTTCCACCAGTTAATGGAGTTTCACAAGAGGCTACACCCCATTGTTCAACCACTGAAGTTGGAAGCGAGGGGCAGTCCGAGCCCACCAAGTTCTATGACAACATTTACTTTGACTCTGATGAAGAAGACAATGAAGGAGGTGGGTTAGAAAGTCTTTCTGAAGGGAGTGATTGGGTGACTTAACATTGATCTGGGTTCGGTTCCTCACATGGGTACATGTGTGAAACCAATTTCTTGTGTCTCTCATGAAGATATTGCTAAAAGTGGCATAAAACCAGACGCACTTACTTATTGAAGTTTGACTATGTTTTATTATTGCTGGAAGATGTAATTTGTAAATATACTCCGTTTGTTGATCCTCATGACTTCCTTCTTGTTTCCATGTTTTCAGCATCTTGCTCTCATATTTATGATGCTCTTTCTCCGATTTTGGTTACATTATCGTTGCCTGTTGCCGATTGATTGTGTATCATGATCATAGGACAGGCATTTATAGCAGTCTGTTAGTTTTTATTGGTAGGTTTGATATTCAAACAAATCAAAGTGGTGACTTTCCTCATTTTGAAACAGTTGTCTTGTCAGAAATTCTTTTCTCTCTTTATTCAAGTTACTTTTTGGACACTGTCAAATTTTGTGTATGTTTCAAAAAAATTAATTATGAACATTGGATCATTATCTATAGAGATCTTGAGCATATATATATCTTTCCGCCAGTCTCAGATGCCAAGAAGAAGCACCCAATCCCAACTGACGATGACCTTCTGTATGACCCCAACATGGATGATGAGGATGAGAGGTGGGTGGTGAAGCAGCGACAGAAGTATCGTCCCAAGGGCCACGAGGATCCGAGTCAGGGAAACAAGAAGAAAAACATTTCTCGGAGTGATGCAGTCTTGAACTGTCCAGCTTGCATGACGACGCTGTGTCGGGATTGTCAGAGGTAGGTGATGTAACTGCCCTCAACTTGCTGTATTTAACAGGTGTTATGTTCAGAATGCTTAGCAAACTGTGCATTTATGATTTTCATATTTGTTTGTATATTGTTTAATGCCATACTCCACAAAGCCCATTTTTAGGAAGTCTGACCATACAATCCAGTGATTGACATCATGAGCATTGAACCCGTGAAGGTCCGGGTTAGAATGTGCCTTCAGGAACCCATGCTTGTTGTTAGAGGCGACTAACGGGATCGGGTGGTCAGGTTCGCTGACTTGGTTGACACATGTCATCGGTTCCCAATTGCGCAGATCGATGCTCATGCTGTTAATCACTGGATTGTCTGGTCCAGACTCGATTATTTACAGCCCGCCGCCATATAGCTGGAATATTGCTGAGTGCGGCGTAAAACTAAACTCACTCACTCATGAGCATTGATCTACACAACTAAGATACTATGACATGCACCAACAAAGTGAAACCACCTTGTAGAACTAAATATATCATGTTTGTCAGATCAAAGAGGTTTAATTTGATTGTCTTGTTATTTACTGCCCTCTCATTGGCTGGTTACCTGAACAAATGAATTGGTATTGACACCAAATGTCTATGAAACAGTACAGAGGAAGCTAGTGCATATAACTGCACTTGAATAAGGAATATGAGTGAGTGAGCTGCTTTTAGCAATATTTCAGCAATGTCACAGTGGTGGACATTTTCCCCATATGGGTAATCAAAATCCGGGTCTTCAGTGTGATGAGCAAATGCTTTGACTTCTAGGCTACCCTGCCCCTGAGGAATGAGAATGAAGTGATATATTCATTACTGTTTATTACTTTCCAGACATGACATTTACGATAACCAGTTCCGTGCCATGTTTGTGACCAGCTGTGTAGTGGACTTTGAAGAACTGTTAAAATTCCCAGAACAAAAGGGGCGGAGAAAGAGGAAGAAGAAACAAGACAAATCCACACCTAGTGACATGAACTCAGCCGATGACAAGAAATATAACCCTGTGAAATGTGAGGACTGTAACACTGTGGTGGCCATGTATGACCAGGAGGAGGTCTACCACTTCTTCAACGTGCTTGTCAGCTATGCATGAACATGGAAGATACGTGTATTATTTTGTATATAGTGATTAAATCCTATTTGATAAGTTTCCTGTTTGTTTCTGGATGGGTCAGTTGTTGGTAAGTCATGTAGAAGATCTGGGTTCAAATCTTTTCATGGTATTAGGAAAGAAAGTTTGTCTCACAGACATTTGAAAGCAACAGACTTTGTTCTGAGCCAGTACATTGATTGGACGTATAAAACACTACATGTGTTTGCAATCAGCTTATATGAACTGTGATAGAGGAAGAGCATGGATGTGTTTGTGCATGATAATGGCTGTTTTCCATGGATCAATAAGAACCTCTCAGAGGATGTACAGTCAATAAATCCAAAGTAACTATCTTTGTCATGGCCATGTTTTCTACAGACACCACTATCAAAGCAGACACTTGGCGGTGAAAACTCAAGTCATAGGATGCAAACTGAAGCAGTCGTAAAATGTGATCTTTCCTAATGGGATGACAATCTGTCATGTGAAAACTCTTTTATTGAGAGTCTTAAATAGAGTCAGCTCTAAACACTAAAACCAACAATTAACCTACCAATTATGAACCAAGTATATTTCTGACTGAATGATTGTTGTGCGTGGCGGGGTATTCTGGTGTAGGTCCTCAGTACCCCATGCTTGTATCACAACTGAGGTAACAGTGTTTATCTCCCCTGCTGGTCAGTCGCTGTGCCTTGTTTCTCACACTGTCGACAACTACTGTCTGCTTGGATCCTTCCCCCATGAAGGTTTGTCCCATCCAGCACTTTGTTAAAGCTTTATATTACGAATACTCCCTACAAACATCCTCCTCTGTTAGGACATGACAAGATTTAAGTGTCTTCAACAAATGCAGATCTCTTCTTGGCCTTTCTTAAACTATGTTAGATTACCATTGCTCTGTTGCCTCAACATGGCTGGTCAATATAAAACACTTAAACGAAACAGTATAACAAAATATTCTTTATGTACATGATCTGTGTTTCGATATACGATACAGACAGACAGACAGACAGACCCCACACAGCTGTTGAGTAGCTGTGATTATAGAACACTACGTTGACCACAATGTCAAAGTCCAGAGTGATGTGCAGATCTTAGAGGTTTGCCAATTTGATTAAACCCTCAAGTTCGCATTGTGTTGACAAAGAAGGAATCATCAAAGCAAATCGGGTTTCGAAATCTATGATCATTTGAAACTAGCACGTCTAAGGGACGCAACTCTGCACAGACTGTGCCAGTCAACCCGATGAGATAAGTACAGTATTGCTGAGAGAAGTGAAATAATGATGTATATTATAAAGAACAAAATTGACATATTCTGTTGTTTTTTTCTCAAACGATTCATGTGCAGTAAATCTACACATGCTGAATCACTATCGACGATTCTGATCTGGTCGTGCCCTGCCGTATTGTTTAAAGCATCAACAATTAGGGTGAAATATAAAATCATGAACACAATAAATTCCAATACAAAAAAGCTTAACAAAATATACCCAACTCAACAAAATCATTCCAATAACGAACAGTGTAATAAATTAACATTACCAGTACTTCAACACGATTTGTCCCCGCATGAACACGGAAGTATGCGTATTTATTTGCCCTCGCTTGTGTGATGGTCAAAGCTAACCCTGACTTGTCCCCCTTTCCTTGATAAAGTCAACGGATGCACCATAGGGGCCTATCTGACAGCGTCAGATTTTCTTCCATTAACACCCCAATTGTGTCTTTTAAACATTCATTATCATGGACTCCACTACAGAGGTCCCGCACTGCATCCATGAACGTATTTTAGTGAACGCATCCAACGTTGTCGATGGTTTTCATGTGCAATGGGCAAGTTGGTAATATTCTCAAACACACACACATGGTCACATCCGCTGGCAACATCACTAATCCCAGTTGCGTCTCCTCTGGGTGAAGTCTGTAGTTGAGTAGGCCTCGTTAGAGGCTCCGGAGTCGTAAGACAGGATCGAGTCCCCCTGTAAATATATATTCCATTATTAAACGTGCAGTTTTGTTTCTGTAAACCCTTTGGAATTCTAAATCAGGGAAAGAAACCTTTTAAAATGACCCACTAGACCCAAGGACCAGTGAGTGGACAATAATTAGTGGTCCTGTCTGTACTTCACTGGTCCCAAATAACATTTCGTATCAATATAAAAATGACTGGCCATCAGACCACTGCAAACGTATCATTAAGTGGCGATGAAATTTCGCGATACAGGACCAGCGTAAATTTCGTATACTGCTAAACTGGTTCCAACTACACAACAACTTTATAACGACTGATATGAACAATACTTCACGATACAGCCCGATTTTCCCAAATAATCCTTTGTGTGCATGTTGGTATGTATGTTCCACAGCTAAGTAGATGAACAAAGCATTAACAATATCGCCACGAAAAACAGATTGGCTGGGCTAGATGTGAGTGAATTTAGATTTACGCCGTTTTATGCAATATTCCAGCAATATCATGAATGGGGACACCAGGAATGGGCTTCACACGATGTACCCATGTGGGGAATCGAACAAAGGCCTTGTATGTGACAAGCGAACGCTTTAACCACTAGGCTATCCCGCTACCACAGTATAGTGAGTGTGTTTGGTTTTCATCAAGATTCGATGTCTTAACGAGAAAGACCATATGTAACAGGGCTTGCGCCCGGCCGACTAAAACACTAGCGGTGAACGAGCCAATCCGCTTGTAAAATCTCGTAAACCCTTCTAATGTTAGTTGTTTAACACCGCACTCAGCAATATTCAAGCTGTATGACGGTCTGTAATCGAATCTGGATCAGACCACAAGAACCCATTAATCGCTTATCATAACAAGCAAGGATGTGAAACAAACAATCGGCATATGGCTAGAATAATGCCGATGTAATGTTGAATATTAACTCACTCATTTAAATAAGCAAACAAACAAACAAACTACTTACGTCCAGCGTGATAATGGATAGTTCTATTTTATTCTTCAAGTCCATCACAGGGTTTCGTATCCTTACTCGCGGCAACCGATGTTTCCGTTGCCTGAAATCAAGGTCAAGGACTCAAGACGTCACATTCTGATAATACAAGGGATAGTTACACAAAGATATGTTTCTACTTTTACTGAAAGTTGCCAAATCGAAATCGTTACCTTGATTTCAGTTTCCACACGACGAGACCAAGAATGATAATCAACACAGTAACTGCCGCTGCTGACGACGCCCCTATCCTGCACCCCCCAACACACTTGGACTCGTCTTGCACGGGCATAACGTGACGTAAGAGTTGACGTTGACATCGATGGTTGATAGCACTGATAACGTCCGGTGGTATATTATTTTCCTCTCCCCTGTGTTGAAGCAAGTCTAGTTTCCACGGAGGCGGACAGGGTGCGAGGAGGATGAGTTGCTCCGGGGTAGTGTTGTGGTGCTGCAGTCGATGGCAACACTCTACCATTCTGTATCAAAGTCAAACAGGCACTGAGAAGCATGCAATAAATGTACACACACATAAAGAACTCACTTCTTGTTTTACAGATGCCACACAATACACTGTGGAGAATAACCGTCGTCCACGTATTTCACGTGCAGCGCCCCGTTGTCACAAAACACGTGCGATACATGTACAAAGGTATTTTCGCAAAATGATTCTTTAAGAATATTCATGTCACCTGTAAAACAAGCAATAAAACAAAAACAACTGTATTTTAACTCTTTCTCTTTCATCTGTTTGAAGAATTGCATGGAACAATTGAAAACGAACATTATTAAATCCTGCAGAGCGACTGATCAATACAAACATCCCAAGTGAATCCAGAGTTATGCCCGCTTTATGTTTTATGGTGATATCTATTAAGATTGCCCTATAAAGTTGTTAGAACGCTGAACCATGCATTTAAATCCCTTACGGTTCGACGGAAGGGGACACAGTTTCAAAAAGATTGGCTTTAAAATGTTCTAGCAGCCAATATTCAATTTCCTCACAGATATTAACGAGTGAATGTTGTTGAGAGGCGCAATCGGCATTATTCGAGTTATATTACATTCTGGTTTCATGGGTACACGGCGCTACCGCTGGGAATCAAGCTAAATCTGACCCGGAAGTTGAAAGTCATTTTTTTATAGTATTTGATTCTACTGAGGTTATTCCGATCCTTTGTGCCATAACAAAAAGTAAGGACAATATTCTCTTGCTAACTTTATTTCTCGCGGTGTGATACCACAAGCGTTACATAGTTCCGATAACATCATTTGTTTAAAGGGGAACCTACAATAATGGAACATTCTCTTTGGAGATCTTAAAACCCATGACTGAAACAGCATGAGTCATATGAACGAGGCATGAACAGTCCCGCGGTCTAAATTTACTGTGTAAAGTTGCGTCCCTTAGCCATGTTAGGATCTGCTGGTCGCGGGTTCTCATCTTAGCTTTGTCCTTACAAGTATCATTGTGTTTAAAACACAACAACTTTGCTGTGGGGATAGCTTTATGGTTAAAGTTTTCACAATGGATACGGGCTCGATTCCCTACATGGATACAATGCGTGAAACGTTTTCCTTGTGTTAGCCTGGGTGACACTGCTTAGGTATAATACTTCTAATAACGGCGTAAAATTACACTCACCCAGTCACTCACTACAATTACACACCGCGCTTGGAAAGTGATCCGTCAGTGTTGCATATCGATCACATACATGTAATGCGAAATGTCTAAAATATATGGTGGCTGATTAGGGCCATCGCTTTCTCGCCTTAACATTCGGAGGCGAGAAAGCGAGAAAGATAGCACGAGACGAGGAAGCGATAACACGAGACGAGAAAGCGATAGCACGTGTTATCGCTTTCTCGTCTCGCGTTATCGCTTTCTCGTCTCGCGCTATCGCTTTCTCGTCTCGTGCTATCGCTTTCTCGTCTCGTGCTATCGCTTTCTCGTCTCGTGTTATCGCTTTCTCGTCTCGTGATATCGCTTTTCGCTTTCTCGCCTCCGAATGTTAAGGCGAGAAAGCGATGGCCCTAATCAGCCACCATAAAAATACGCATTGCTGTCGATTTTGTCTTACGACTACAAAAATAAAAGAGGTAGATCTAACGACGTCTATCGATGTAAAATATTCATATTGTGACTGATCATATAGGTACAGATGTAGCTTTTTCGATATTCACCCATACCTTTATTGAAGGTGAATAACTGTTGAATAAAAAACACATATTCAGATCTTATTGCGGATCTGATCATATTATTGCTGTTTAATGTCGACCTCAGTTAAAGCCAGTCACAGTTTTATATGTTAGACGCCATCAACTCAGCGTGCCGGAAATCATAGCAAATAGATTGTGCAGAGAGTTATTTAATATCCCCCACCATTATAGCTCACCAAACTAACTTTGAATATGTTAGCCTGCTACAAAATTATTTGGATGATATTATCCAGTCCTGGCTGATTTGCATTGGTAACTTGTGAAATAAACGTCGTGGCGTCCCATAATTTCCATTCTGAAATCATTTGTATTATTTCATATCGCATGAAGCCAGTAGGATTTATTGATTATGTCTGACAGTGAATATTTTGAATGATATTTTACTTCCAGTGCATGACTTCTAATTTCGTTTCATTGCACTTTCGACTTTTTGATACACACATTTGCTCAATGGCCAACTTGCCTCCACCAAGTGTGGTCCAGTCAGATATATGTACATGGAATTGCTGAATATTATAACTATTTATGTATAACAGTCGCGTGTGGCTGTTTGTGTAACTTCAATTTCGGAGACTGCAATCGTGAAATAGATGTTATTGATAATATATCATATAACGTTTATTGATATGGCTTGGAAATCGTGAACAAGACATCAGATATAGTGCCATGTATCCAGCTATCTGTCTGTCTGCCTGTCTATCTATCTGTCATCGTTTTTCTTACTGTCATAATATTCTTTGTATGCTTTAAACAATCCCATCATATATCAGTTCAAGTCAGAGTATCCCCACAATGTGTGAAGCCCATTTCCCCCGCCGTGATATTGCTGGAATATTGATAAAAGAGCGTAAAATTGAACTCACACACTCAAGTAATAGTAAACATTGTATATCATCTATAGCTTAATATGATCATATATCTAATCCCGTTATTTTTGTTAATTAAATAATAATTTGACTTAAACTCTTGACAGCCGTTTCCGATGGCAGTACTGTTTAAAAATCTATATTTTACCTCGGAGCAATAGCCGTCTTTTAAGTTCAATACGAATTGTTTCAATTCTAATTTACGGTTTGAAATGTGAAATGTAAAATATGTCTTCCACCTGCCCCGCTGTAGAACGAAGGACAACAAATTATGGCCTGATTTTATGGCTAAAACAGCGGGACAAACCAAAGTATACACTTGAAAATTACATCTGACAACAACCCCGCAATTAGAAACATCATCAAAACGTAACTGGACTTAAACTTAAGCCCCAAGACACAACAATGATATCCGTACGATATACGAATAGACATTTCTTGTTTTATTTAATTTAAAGCCACCGTAAAAATATTTGTAAACTTTCTTTCTTCAATCGATATGGCCAATATTAAAGAAGAATGGGATAAACAGTTGTGATAAAGTCGAACAATATCCATATACAATCTTGTTGTTTGTGATCTCCGGGCACTCACCTCACTGTGTCCAGACAGAAATATGTGAATCCCGTAGTTGATGGACAGACACCATGCCTGAGAAGCACTGAGCATTCAGATATCCGTTGGTGACTGTCAAGCATGTGCCCTCGTCTGTGTAGCCTGATGGCAGTCGGGGCCTCACGGTACATTCAACACCATGGTATACAAGTCCGCGTGATTCTCACCACTACAACTTCAAACAGTACTAACACCATCAGCTATGGTACAAAGGTCTCCCTGACAACATACTAAATTATCATTATTCTGCCTCGTAGTCGCTGGTCAGAGTTCAGACTTCTACCGACCTTCCAAACGTTACACTGGAACTTCACACAGGGAATATGAGGAGTGTCGCCCGCAAATATAGCATCAACATTTTTGCAATATCAAAGTCAAGAGAGTAGCCCCGAGTCTTGTTGAACATGTGAAACACAATATTGACAACGACTGCAGGAGATGTTTGATGTCAACAGTGCAACGATTGTTTATATCGGAGTCACTCGCGTTATGACAGACGTTGGGTTTTACGTAGATCTGCGCGTGTGACCCTAGATTGACACGAACTAAAGAAACTGAAACTGGTTGCTTAGCTCATAGAGTTGGGTTTCGTGTATTTGTTCAATGACGTTCATGCACCAGACAGAATATGAGGGACTGGTGTATTTCATTGGTATTCCTTATGTAGTAAAGTTCATCGGTAGCCTCTGATTTATTTACGACAGTCCTTTCTTAACATGTCTGCCATATTAATTGATTATTATCTAATATAATGCAGTCCAGTATGTTTGAGAACAAAAGACACGATTTCACGTTGACGTGAGTCAATAACTACACCTAGGAGATGCAGCGTTCTCACGTACACGCCACACGTATATCATCACCAGACGGAGAGGGTGTAGGACAATCAAATTTATCCTCACCGATAACATACGAGTATTTATCTCATTGTGTCACCTGACATTTTCATGAACGAGATTCTTCACACATACATTTATATACGGACTATAGGTTAAATGAAATATGATATTGTATTATTGCATAATTTGCATTTGTTAGATGTAATAAACAGGCAAGTGTTGTACCTAGTAAAAATAATATATATATAATGAAAAGGATCCCTGAGACTTTCTTCATTTTCAGAAGCTGAGGAAATCTAGACTTGCCACATTTTCTAGACTTGCGTGGGCTTTCTTGGATAGATTTGCTTCAGCGTCTGTACGACAGACTAGGCTTAGCATTGAGTACAGCCTTGGAGCAAGGCTACGGTGAGATTGGCACATCGAATTGAGATCGAGCTACATGGGCTTTTATGGGCGTAACTTCAGATTAAGATACCTTAGTGGCAAAAGGTTGACCTAAGCTGGGGTTGTTTTGAGTAATGACGTCTTGACTGTCTACAAATAGCTAACTTGCAATCATTCCAAGAATAGCTCATATGAAGCACTAACCAAAAAGGGGGCATGGGTGGGGATTAGGCCCCCCCTCTGTTCCAACAGGCTTGATACTGATGTTAATGTCTAATGACTTTTTCCTGTTCAAAGCAGGAAGTAATGGCTTTACTCACTTCCTTTTGTCCCTCTGTCTGACGGATATCGCTCCCTAATTCGTCGTCTGTTGTATCGCTACATTATTATCAAAGCAGTGGTGTAAAATATAGAGAATACTAAACGATGTCCCCGTGTAATGCCATATTTAAGAAAGGAGTGAATGATTTGGTATCTAACTCGCGAAAGCGAGTTAGATACCAATACCATTCACGAGTTTCATAAATATGGTATTGCACGGGACATAGTTTA